ATATCTAAATCGTCTTCTGAAATACCCGTTTGACTAGTCACAATAAACAGCTGATCTGATAAGTGACGTTCTCGTCACAGTAGGATGCGACAATGAATTTTCGAGAATACCTCACCCGCAGTTCGTTTAACGATCTAGGAGGGAGTCCCACGTAAAATCACAGGTGCTTCTCAAATGTGTGATCAAGAGAGTCCTCAAGTCAATCTGAATCTATGCGAAGTTTCCTGCCATTTGGTTTAAAATTACGTGCGTTAAATTAGCTTGAACATCCCCAAGAAGCGCCTACCATGGCATGCTTGGACGTGTTTGGACATTGGCGACGCATCGGCATCTAATTTGATGAAAGTATTCGCCCATAGTCTGGTTGGGCACACGCAACAACTTTGAGCAGCGGAAATTACACAGGGAAGTCACGTACTGTCGGTTGCTGATGGATCGATCACAACGTGGCTTTGCAAAAAGCGTATTACCGTCTCCTTGTCATGAACGAGAGTTGAAAGCGTCAGAAAGTTCATTTAAGGTTTTACGGAGAAAACTTTTGCACGAAATGAGCCCAGATGCCGATGAGGAATTGTTTTCATCAAGAATAAGTCATTAGATTGGAGCTGGCAAATGGTGGCGGGGCTTATCTGGAAAAGACCCCCTATCTACCCAACCCCACCGCTCGGATTTTATCTCATCCACTCAACATGCTCCACTATTTCAGAAAGACATCATCGTGGCAGTTCAATTCAATCAAACTGCCTTCAAGCACGTCAGTTGTTACGTTTATTCAAACTACCGTTTTGTCGATTTCTTGTGGCTTTTTATCGTTGACGTCATTATCCTTGATTGGGTCAGCTGATTGTTTTGACGACCCGAACAGCTGGTGCTGTTCGTGACGGCACGCGCCACCCAGTGACAGACAGAACAAGACTGCATGCCAGTGGAAACGTAAACGTACATTCGAAGCGGTTATGTTCAACCGTCTGTCAAACCAGTGATTTATCTGTCTGATCGTAGGTGAATGGAAACCAGCTCGTCTGACACGCGCCATATTGTTCAAACGTCAAATGTTTGAACCTTTATTGATCAGCAAATTTCGCTCAGACTCCGGCTATTCATCATTACCAATGTTACTACTTTCTTTATTCACGTTCATCTGTACTTTTTGCTTGCCAGTATGGTTGAAAACTGAACGATTAGAATGAAATGATCAACTGAACTGGTGAATCCGTTTAAAAACGAACTTCCAGCTCGAGACAATCGTAATGGATTTGGTGTTTGGGTTTGTAGTTACTTTAAGATTCGAATACATGTTATCTAAACATTTGAACGGTTCGGTAACTTTCGGATTTTGAATGGCAGGTGAATTGGGTCATGTAAAGCGAGATGGTCAAAGTGGTAAGAGCGCGAATTTACTGACCGGAGGGTCCGTGGTTCGAACCCGACCTCTGCCTCTCGACTTCCCCTGTCTAGGCTTGGGTAACCTGACAGTATCCCAGCCCTCGTGCTTCCTTCGGGTGGCATGGTAGCTAGGCACCGAAAGGGTGTTATAGCTGAGCGAATATCGATTATCTGATTCGTTGAGTTTTCCTTTGTCGGCTTATCTTTTCACATGATTTCCTCATTCAAACGGATCGTTCAGTCTAGTTCGTACCAACACCCAGGAGTCGATTGCAGTGTTGTCCCTACACTACATCTGTTTCTCTCCTCATGCATGTTGTACAGCTTCTCCTTTTGACCAAAAACCTTATTCTACCCTGATTCTTGACAAGTTTGGTTTGGCGATCGGCCTTTTGTGCCTCTTGGGCGATGAACTGACTTTTTTCGATCAGTTTTCTCCCGATTATCAAACCATGTGACTGAAGTTTGTTCATTCATTCAATGCGAAACAAGTGTTGTCGCTTTGTTCACTACTGCCCTGTTAGGCAGGAATCCACGCGGATCCCACTATACCGCACGTCTTTAGGCGCGGCTACGGCCGATAAGCCTGGCCCGCACGAGGTTGGCTCAGAATTCGGGACGCTTGCCGGTCCGGCATCAAGACGAGATCTGATTGGTCGAAAGTCTGGACCCAACAGCCAATCATGACCCAGTATTGGCCAAATGTCGGTTGCCAATGGCGCATCCAGAACGCATCAGAACTTCCAGAAGGTTATAACCGCTTACGCTATATATACGAAGCGCTGTACAACTGTTCTTGACTTCGTTTTGGGCATTAATAGGCCTTGTGCACCTTTGGTGGTTGTTTTGACGTGAACGCTAGTTTGGGAGGCTCAGACCGAGAACTAAGCTGAGGAAAATACCGTTACTACATGCCCTCATGGTTCTGATCACACTGGCCTTTTTTCATTCGATTTCCTATTTGATCGAACTCATCTTGATCCTGTGGTCCACCACTAAACACCATATCCACGACAACTTGTGCGTTCACGAAGAAGAAGTGGATACTTGGCATAATTTACTAGTTATAAGGCTGTTGAAAACTCTCCGACAGCCCAATACTGGTTTTGTCTTGCTCCCGAGTTTCCATCAACCTTACGTTCTGCTTGAGCATCAAGTTGTACGCTATTGGCGGAATACACTCATCCGCAAACTACTTTAGTGGTAATGGGGCGGGATGGCTCGGTGCTTAGAACGTGAATTTACTGACCGGAGGGTCCGTGGTTCGAACCCGACCTCTGCCTCACGACTTCCCCTGTCTAGGCTTGGGCAACCTGGCAGTATCCCGGCCTTCGTGCTTCCTTCGGATGGCACCGAAAGGGTACTACAGCTGAACGGATGGAAGAACCCTTCGTTTATATGCCAAGAAAATGTCCTGCAGCGTGTGTAATGTCGTGTCAGATGAAACGTGAGGCGGTCTTTATGCGGCATATCCAGTGGGAGAATATCATCGACGGTCAGTTTGGCTGATTCTTTCATCAACACCAAATTAATTTGCAAATGAGTGTAATTCACCCAAGATTGACCTCATACTTGATAAGATTTCACCGAAGCAAGTCATGCAGTGGAATCTTTGTGTTATATCTGCTGATTTGCCAATCTGAGGTATCTGCTACTGACCCGCTCCAGTGCCTAGTGCCGGAGAAAAGACTCACAGAAGGGAACACAACAGCCATATTCCGAACAAGTGAGTGCGAGAGCGTGGGTGCGTACGAGTGTGAATGTACAACGTTCTCAAGCTATTTATTGGAAGGACACTGTCTGAACTTGGTCCAATGCTGACGCACACGTCTGGTTTTGGTACGAGGCTGTGAGGCGCTGCATGTTGAGAGGGTGTTGTCTGTCTGATCAACATCTAGCGGAGCTGAAATGTTGATTTCAGGCATTCAGTGGTTGCTTTCAGGAGTCTGGCCTTCCTGATACTTTGTTTCCCCACCGAATCTCCAATCCGTGTCCCTGACAGATGCACTGACAGTGCGCATACTCTTCATCTCTTTTTGACGTGAAATCTCTCCCAATGAATTGATTTCCTTGCTTCGTCTCTTGTTTTCTTTTACTATCCTGTTTTATCGTGTTCCAACCTCACCGCTTGCTCCGCATCAATATCCGCCCCACACAGGATAGCCTGGAATTACTTGTCGTCAAAATGAGATAACACATGAATGGCTGTGACGCCGTAATCTTGCGTCTTCGCTTCGATGCAACCTCATCGAGGTTCCTCTGCATATCCTATCGGTTTTTATTCCCCTCCAAGCATTTTCAGACGGCACTTTGTATTGCTTGTTTCACAGAGGACGACGACCAGTTAGTTATCGCAAGATCGCAGCGCTTCTAACATCAATCACTAAGACTGATCAGCGAATGAAACAAGCCTCAACCCCTTGAAAGCCAACTGCATCCTGTTTTCTTGTTCCGTCATCAACTCACTGTCACTTACTGACTTAGTCTCGTCATTCCTAGAATATCATCCCTGAGTCTATTTTCCCCCAAACGGTCCTTTCTGATAGCGTAAGAGTAGCGGTCAGCTGTAACATTCCTCTGGTGCCTAGCTGCCATGCTACCCAAAGGAAGCACGAGGGGCTCGGACACGCCCAAGCCTAGACAGGGGAAGTTGAGAGGCAAAGGTCGGGTTCGAACCACGGAACTTCCGGTCAGTAAATTCGCGCTCTAGCCACTTGAGCCATCTCGCCCCTTTCCTGAACCGATCACGCAATACTTTAGTTGCGAGAACTTCCAACTAAGTGAACTGATTTTTAGTCCCTGAAAGTTCTTCACTACCCTTCAAATTTTTCTACTTTTCAAAGCCCGGATTCATTTATAGCTTGCATGTTGTTTTGGGGTGATACATCTTCAACACACTGATCTATGAAACCGGAAACCTCGCAAATTATTGACAATCCATTACTCTTCGGTGAATTGTGACATTTCTTTGTTCCGCTACGGTCACGGTCGGTATTGTTCAGAGCCTTCCTTGCTGTTCCGACTCTCCGTGTTTTTTTATCGTTTCACTAGTTTCGCCCTTCCTCACGAAACTTCTGTAACCGGGGCACCTTCTGAAGTAGATTTTTGAAAAGGCTGTTCAAACTGTTCTAGTACCAGCGCCCAAAAAATTTACGCGCCGTTATGGGAAAACGCTCATCGTGGCGCATGCATTTGTGGCTTTTTTACTTAGCCAACTTCCGCAGTGAATATAGCTGTATTCATGACTTTTTTGTATCGCGGCAGCCAGGAAGACACGTTTGAGCACCACATTTTGTGAGAACGTCACAAACGAGAGATTCAGCTGGGTTCCAGGTGAGTCTCTCGAAAAAACAAATTAGTTTGCAAATGAGTGTATATTCGCCTTTATCGACTGTTTTGCTATCAACTGTCGACCAGAACCTATTTATTGTACCTTACTTGCATGAACGAACGTCTAAAAGAAACGAATATTCATATTGCCCAACTGTCTGTGAAACTCTAATATCGATCCAGTTTACTAGCTGATTCGACGTACGAATCGACATCAGTGCGGTTGATGTAATTTGAATTCCTCTGTGCATTCTCATCAGATTCTTTCTGTTACCATTGTATAGGACATGTATAATGAGCTGGTTAGGACAACCTCGAGTGGATCGATGCCCCGACGTCGTATCTACACCATCCGTGGATTACTCATCAGTTTGCTGTCTTCGCTAGAACATCATCAAGGCACTCGGTGGACTCTGGCGGCTCGACTGGCTGATGGCAGTGCTACTGTGGATTTGGACATCTCTTCTGAGCTTCTGACCAGCTGGATTGGTCTGACAGCAGCTGAGAGCGAGTCTCTGAGACAAATGAGCCGAGTAGCCGCCACGGGTTCCGAAGCAAACGTGGTCGCATTGCAAGAGGTCAGTCCGTGTTATTTGTTCTTTTCCTAGCCAAGCTGTGTTTGAAGTCACTTCCACCTTCTATTTTCGAGTTGGGTTATGCGTGCAATGTTCTTTTACGATTTGTTTCGACTAATAGGTCAGGATTGCTATCCTGCCGTTTTAATCCCGTTAACCGTAACACATCTGTTGCATTGTTTCTCTACGCACACGCCACACTGCGCGTGCCGATGCTAAGCCAAGCGGCTGTGCGAGCGTCTTCTTGCCTGCCGTGTGCGGCTTGTCCGAAATCCAGGTCAACCTGGAATCAGCTGATTTCTGTCTGTGTTTAAATCCACTCTCCGCATGTGGTCACTGCTTGGGCCAGTCTGACTGGAAATGACACAGCGAAAAGAACATCTGGTACCCTTGAAGGGTGCCCTGGAATAAGGACGCCGGAATGGTTGCGATTGGTTGGAAAACCCCACTACCTAAAGCAACCATACAGCTGGGCATCGACTTAGGGAGTCTATGCTATCAACGGCACAGCTTCCCTGTGATTTTTACCGACACAGCTTCCTGACAGACGTTCGCCAACACAGGACGCAACACGTAAATCAACCACAAACTTTAACTATTGGGTAACGTTACGCCCTCGATTGGGACCGGTTGCGTGCCACTGTAAGGCAGCCAGCCAGGCACAGTAGTTCGACGAATACGCTCATTTGCATATCAAATTGGGTTTGACGGGAGACTCACTTGGGATTTCTCGTTTATGATGTTTTTTGGCCGCTATGAGGCTTCCTGGTGCAGCACAATCAGTTGAAGAATATCATAAACGAGAGATTCAATTGAGTCCCTCGTGAAACCAAATTGACATGCGAATGAGTGTATTTGTCGAAATCTGTCCAATTTGGGTTCAACTAGAACATAAGTTTGACGGAACTTCGGTGACTGTGGCTACCTGATGAATCCCAAGAAGGGCGAAACTGGTTGTGGGATGTCGAAAAGTTCTTAGCTGCCTTATGAGTAGTGTATTACGTGTTACAGCAGTTGTTTTCATTTCATACCGTCGTGTCACACCTCATCCGCCGCCAACCTCTACTAGGAGTGGAGAACAATGCATTCAGCGGGAGACAGGGAACGTGAATACGTATCATAGGCATTTCAACTCGGCAAGCTTTGTTTGCTGTCCTATAGAGACCGAACTCTCTGTCTCGTCCTGTGGTCAACTGACAGGGGCTTGGCGTTGCATCACTTTCAGTGCACTCGGCTTCTCATAGCTCATGTAAACGAAGCATTTGTGTTTCGCTTTGTCAGGCAGTAACAAGTGGCACTTTCCATGACTGTAAATGTTTTACCAACATTAGTTAAGGCAGAGTAAGTGAGCAACAATTATTGAATGGTTGAGAACTTGCGGCTTTGACATCACCGAGTTCGCTGGATAAAGCGGAATGGACCGAGTTCTACGCATTCACAACAAAGTAAAACACTAAGAATGCTTTTCGCTACTTTATTGAAGTGGTTTACCTCGGTTGTTCTCTCTGCTCAACTACATTGGGGTGGTGTCTTTAATAGCCAACCCATGTCCGTGTGTCTTGCGGAAAAGATCAGAGCTGTGTCTCTGTAAGACACAACAAACGAGGGATGTACGCACAGACTGTGATCTAGTTGTAAAGTCTAGTTCAAAACAGGGAAGAAATGTGAGGGTGTACGGAGGCCAGCCGTCCCTAATAACCGAACACCACATCATTTGGACGGATGTGTCACGTGCAGGACACGGGCCAGACGAAGGCATGCCCTGATTGGTCAGAATGCCAGCCAATCCGAGTCAAGCACCTTTGACTCGACGCTCCTCGCCATCTCACGCAGATTCTGGCACGACCGTGTGGAACACTCTGTGACTACCCTGTAATAGCTTTCCTTTGTCTACAAAGAGCTGTGTAGAGCTACCGTGACTTTTGATATACCATAGTGAGCGGAGCGGTAAGCCAAGGGACCGATACAGAGTTGCACTACTGTTCAGCAAGTCACAACAGAAGTATAGATCGGGTTGGTGAGTACTATTGTGACAATTGGATCGTGAACCTTCATATCCCAGTTTTATTCCTGCTTCGTTTTTGGCCTAACCTCCAACTGAGCGACACCTCGAAGTAAAAAAAAACTAAAGTGAGTTTCCCCCAGAGACATTTCTCATAAAGAATGAGTGCTATACTTGTGTGTTTAACCAGACCAGACTTAGTTCGCGTCTTCGCTGATAAACTGGCACGTTAAACTTCTATAAGGAGTATCTTTCGGGTAACTAGAAGCCACCCGAGACGGGTCGAATCCGAGTCAGTAAGCCATGGGTTACTCGGGCCTACCGTTTATCTATCAGCTTATCCTCAAGCCAGCTGGCAACACTGATGAAATTTCACGAATTCCTGACCCAACCATAAAGCAGTTCCGGAAGAATTACGGGAACGGGCGTTTCCCGGATATGCACTTTCTGTCGAGCTTGATCGGACGTCCGGTGATGAAGATGCTTCGAAATGCTTCCGGCAGGTTGGCAACAGGTCCATTCTCCGTCCCCTTTAAACTTTCGTTCTTGTTCCGACACTGAACACGACGATGTCGTGGGCAAGCTGTAGAACATGGTAGCGCGGAAGAAATCTCAAGCCATCTTCAGTCGAGCAGTGCGCAAACGACAGCAATTGTTGTTTTGCAGCGTCAACATAACTGGAATGTCCCGGATGCTCTTCAGTGTACGACGGCTGTAAGTGATAATATGACGCCAACGTCCACATAATCTGACGACAAAGAACTTGAAAAATAGACTTGTACTTCTGTAACGCACGCATCATAAGGTTGCTGAAAATCCGTCGACAGCCCACGACCGGTCTCGCCCTTCTTGGAGCTCATCAGGTAGGCGCAGTCTCTGAGTTTCCATCAAACTTGGGGTTCCCGATAAGTCTCCCGTTGAATTACTCGCCTACTTTCAACTCCGGTGTTGTTCTCAATGATAATGAAGGCAACAGTGATGATGGTAACGTTCGCTATTGTTACTGTTGTTATTACTACTTAAAAAGGTTGTCTGCTTTTTGGTCGCCAACACAACACCCTCACACCAGGTGAATTCAGCGAACAGGCGACGCCGGCATGACATCAGTGTTCAACACCGGTGCCGCATGATTGTACGAGGGCTGAGATACTGCCAGGGCGCCTACACCTAGACGGGAGGCCGATCAGGGTCCTCAACCAAAGCCTCTGGCTCAAAAGCCTAACCGCAAGGCAGTCGTGTTTGGCGGGGAATGCAAATGTATTGCCATTTCTACGGAACAAGTCGCTATACATGTTCCAACCCTCAACCTGGGGGACCAGGAGACCCCGAACCATTGGGAAACCTGGTATGGGAGACTCTGCGAGTGTCACACGGACACTCCCCAGTATAGCTCAATGGATCGCCGAGGTGCGCGAACCGTCATACCGCGGTAAGGTCCATTCTCTTCGTGACAGACAGTAGTAGTTACGTGGAATCCACCTGGAAAGTGGGTTTCGCGACGAACTAAGTAACCAAGATATACGGGGACAATAGATACAGTACCTCTTCTAGGAAACTGTCCCACTGAGGAGGCGATTGTTGCAGTACAGTTTTCTTCCCACTGTCACTTAGTTTCAAAATTTTCAACTTACTTTTCAAGAGGGGAGACCACCAATTTACTGGTTGGTTGTTCAGTACAGCGGCTGATGTCTTAAGCGCCGCCGACACATCCTTGGACCCCTCGTGACCGAGCTGGTTTCATTTCGCTGCAGTCGCTCGGAACATAACAAGCGATAGCCCGATATTTATCGACTCCTCGATGTCCACCACGCACTGGTGTTAGACAGTTGGCCTTGCTTTGCGGTTTTCTTGGTGACACAAAGGCGACCCCTTCACATAATGATCTACCTCGCCGTGTCTTACGAGTACTGCTTTATGAGCTCACCACCTTTCCGTAGTGTCTCGGCCATAATGAAGTAAGAATACTTGGTACTGAACGAAAAATTTCACTATTCGGTCGCTCGCTCATTCCACACAGCAGCTGTTCAGGAAATTCGTATGTGACTAAAATTCCATTTTATCGATGCGGCGGCTGCGCGATGCTACTCGTCACCTGTGAGCACCATTCCAACTATTCTGGCATCATCCGAAAGTATGCTTCTTCGACGAGGTACCATTCTATCAGTCGATTTGTCTTGTTATCGCGGCACCCCAACGCAGTGGCCTCTTACTACACCAATCCATACCTTGAAAACTCTCTACTATTACAGCAGTTGCGCAGAAAAAAGGTTGCCTGTGACACTAAATGGTTGTACTTTCCAAAAGAGAACGATTTCTCTCTCACACTCAGAGGAGTGTTGTTTCTTGTAACCGGTTTCACACAGAACGGTCCACAAACGTCAACAGTCCATTGACCTTGAGTTTATCATCACACCTTGAACAGACAACGTCAGTACACGCTACTACTGCCTTTTGTTATGCTTGAATGTCACGCCGATGTGCCATGGTGAGTGTTTGACATGTGATACTTGGTGTCTGCGGTAAATGCAAACTCCGCACTGAATGTTTACGCTTCAACAGCGCGCTCGCCGCACAGTGTTTGTTGAAAATTTCAGTCCCAAATCCAACCGAACCATGTTGGATGGATTGGAGTTGCTGTCTTGTTCAACATCTCGTGTTTTTACTTTAGATTTTCCTACAAAATGTTTTCCACGACCCACAGTGAGCGCGCCTAGGTTTCAAATACTCGCTTTGTGAGAAATTGACACTGCTCTCATCTGTGAATGTGGAACGCAGTGCCCCATCCCCGCTGCAGAGATCACTCGTGGGGCCTGATCAACGTGAGAGATCCCGATTAGGATGGAACGATCGAATTCCTAGTCCTGTGTGATACACTCATTTGCAAATCAATTTGGTTTTCACGACAAACTCAACTGAATCTCTCGTTTATGATATTTAAGTAGAACACAAGGTTGACGGAAACTCGGGGGCTGCGCCTACCTGATAAAGGGCCCAAGAAGGGCGAAACCGATCGTGGGCTGTCGAAGAGTTTTCAGCAACCTTATGAGTAGTATCCTTTATGACTGAAGTTAAATATTTAGTTTGTAAAAAAAATCTGGTATCTGCGTTCGATACTGCCTCTTTCTGATTGTATTTGTAATAGTATATATATATATATATATATAATATTATAATATAATATATATATAATATAACATAATAATAATATTACATAAATACTATGCGGTGTTTCTCACTATCAACCTGGTACTACGTATCATTCACTGATTCGTCTTCCTTCAACCTTCCCGATTGGTTCCCCTCAGATCACCGCGCAAAGAGTAGTATCTACGGTGAAATGACATACGTATCCCTTGACAAACCCACCTAAACGCCTACTGATGACTGGTCACGATTGGTCCCTCAGTGAGCAGTTCAACAACCCAAATCGTCTATGTTTCGGTATTTCTCCACACCTCGGCTTTCACGGCAGCTGACTTCCTTTCTTCTCAAAGATGAAGGCATTTAATCACCGGTCGGAAAGTGTAGTTATTGAACTAAGTCCGAACCTGATCAAGCATGAATTGCCTGCTGTAAACCTTCACGGATCGGACTAAACTTCGGTGGTATCATTGGACTTTTAAGGGATACAGCATATGCGTCTCCGTTTACCAATGCGATCCCTGAGTGCGGAACTGAGAGACACATGATCTAAAAAAGTAAATCTCCATGGAACAGCCTGTGAAAAGTTCCATGGCAAGCGTCTCATCACCATTCGAGAAGCCACTGTCATTGTGCTGTTGGGTGGGTAGCCCCGTTCAAAAAGCACCTGAGCTGTCCGTAACTTCTCGTCCCCTTTTTGTTCCTGCTTCACTCCATATGTTGACATTTTCCCAGTTGAATTCGGGATTTATGAACGTAGATGATTGAGAATCAATCGCGTCTTTGAGTAGCAGGTTTATATTTGTTGATTCTGGTTGACAGCTTCCTCCGCGTTTATCCCAATTGCCACTTACCTGTTCAGGTTTTCTGGTTTCCGCTGAAAATGGTAGCCCCTATTGAATTGGAGGGCTGGCGTCCATCTGATTGGTCCGGTGGTATAGTTCGCATAAGTGGGTGCTCCCTTTAATGGAGAATGTGGTGATATAAGGGAAATCATGCGAAGAAACTGGACAACTGTACCGTGCGAGTAGCGAAATGTATTCTCATGAGTCCAACTAATCTTATTTTCAGTGACTGTGTTAAGTTGGCCACATTTGGTACGCTGTGCTCGATTGGAGAAAATCGTGTTTTACCCAAATTTGAGGCCAGGTGTTCTGCCTTTGGTAGCAAATTTTCCGTTTGTAGTGATGCTGACTTCACAACTTATGTGATGTACTGCAGACCTAATCGCTCCCTGCGAGTTGGAATTTTGCCATCTGTTCCGACTACCAACTCAAAATCAAGTAGCAAGCATTTGATGTCATGTTTTCTCCCTCCCGAAATTCTTATCCCGGTGTACAGGCACAGAAACATCGTCATCGTTTGAGGTCAGCACTTTCAAACTTTCAAGCCCGCCTGGCGAACCTAGCTGGATTGTTCGACATCACTCCTCCGACCCCCACTTCTCTGGGAGCCGGTGATTCATCCGAGGAGAAGCCGATTCGCCCGATCTTGGTTGGCTACCGTCCACTTGATGGGGATTGGCTGACACAGCTTCACAATCGCGTCCTAGCCCGTTGGGGCACTCGAGTCCTCGACTAGGTGATTCGCACGTGGCCTTCAGATTCTCATATGTGAATCTCGAACAGAAATAGGACTTTCTGCACATTGTATGTATATAAAGATGAATTGGCATTTAGATCTCTAATTTTCCCTCTCCACAGTTTTGTACATAAGATATTTTGTTCAACCGGTTGAGTTTTTCACATTTACGAAAAGGCCTCTTGGCCAACGCGAGTTTTTCTTTCTAGAAAAGTGGATCAAGCCCCAACCGATACAACTGATGCTGATTCATTCATATCTGGAAAATAACCAAGATACATGGGAGCTTCCAACTGTGATGCTTTTTGAGTTACATACTACTCATCAGTAGACGCACCCCAATCGATGTCAGGTCCCGAAGAACTTTGACGCCATATTCTCCCGAATATTCCTGGTACTTTTGGTGTTCAGGTAGAGTTATGGCATTAATATTCCATGGAGATAGTCATGTGACCCGTGATGTTGACCAGTCGATTTTCAAAAATACACACCTAGGCTTACGCAGCTCGTTGAATTGTTCCTTCAAGATATACCCCTTGTGCAAGCAACAGGTGTCATGAATATCGTCATTAGTCCGGTGTTTGCCAGATCCTGCACAAGGATCGTGACAAGTTAAAAATGTCTTATAATGTACTACTCGTCGTCAGCAACCTTAGAAGTAGTACATTACAGATACACATGTATCGCGATATTTCGAACATCGTAGCGACTGAAACATGAAGTGGCCTGGAAACATCACAAACGAGAGATTCGGCTGAGTTCCAGGTGAGTCTATCGAACAACCAAATTAGTTTGCAACCCGCGATCACGTGGGTTGAGACAAGAAAACACTTCAGAAAGAGCAGCGCAGGTCCGTTAGGTAGTAAAGAGGATGATTACGATTGCCTAACTATTTTTGTCCAATCAGGCTGTGTTATTCTTGCTTTGCGGTTTTGCCTATCGAAATCACGTGAACCGTTGCCATTTAACCATGCTTTCTAGTTACTTTTTGGTTATTAGAACGAGCAACTTGCGTGTACGCTTGTTGGATAGCCATGAATTACCGTCTATACTACTTATATCTCACAAAGTACTGCAGTGGCCTTCGATCGTCCTTGTAGTCTCTGGCTTACAACCCAAGGTCAGATTAGGTGATGGTCTTTAGTCACATAGAGCATGAAAAGTTTTTCATTCTAACTGTGTGCTACGAGGACTGTTCCCCAATGGGCTTATCGGGTCTTTCCCACGATCAGTTTAACGCTGCATCACGTGTTCCTGAGGCTGACAACCCACTGGAGCAGAGGAACACTCTTGAACAGTATTAAACGGTCTGACTCCTAAGTAGGCACACACTCGATCATGTGAAACGTTGGCTACATGTACAGACGTAATACACTACTCATAAGGTTGCTGAAAATTTCCGACAGCCCAGACTGGTTTTGCCCTTCTCGGGCTGGCATCCTAATCAGAGTTACTGGTCGGCAATAGATGTCTGCATGTAATTGAAAGGCCACAGATGGCTTGCGTGGTCCTAAACGTGGAGCTGCATGTAGATCAGAGGGGTTAAAACCTGTTACCTGTTACAAGCCATCACCTAGCCTCAACCTGATGGCATAACAATGGACACTGACACCAGTGATTTGTTCATCATTAAAGCACCGGGCACATCTGTCAATTCCTTCAAGTTCTGATGTATTATCACACCTCTCAGTATGCAGGTGTTCCTGGAAGCTCTCCATTAACCCCATCAAAATAGTCATGGTGTAACAGTGGATGCTACTGATGAGGCATGCGAGTAGTATGTGGTTTTCTCGTAAATCCGCGTCGCGTAAGTTGAAAAGTGAAATTCATTACAGAATTTGTGGAATAGCTTTGTAGCACTCGTTCACATTTGAGTGATGGTCAATGAGTACCCGGTAAAGTTCAGGAAGACGCATTCAAAGAGAAGATGGATATTCAGTTTTTGCAAGCAAGACGCATATGAGAGTTTTGCTTCCCTGTCTAATAGTCTGTAACTGCTCAGTTGGCGTTTTCTAATAAACAGCTCCGCAGCGGAGGCCTTCTTCCTTTAGTACCAACGATGCGGTTAGTTTAAATAGTTAAAAAAAAGCCATGTCGGTCGGCTACAACTTGTGAGTAGTTTCCTTCATGAAAATATACTGCGATATCTCGAATATCGTGCCAACTGAATCATGAGGCGGCCTATGTGCAGCGCGTTCAGTTGTAGAATATCATAAACGAGAGATTCAGTTGAGTCTCTCGTGAAAAACAAATTGATTTGCAAGAGAATGTATTTCTCGAAAACAGTCCAATTTGAGTTCAAGTAGAACATAAGGTTGATGGAAACTCGGGGACTGCGCCTACCTGATGAGCCCCAAGAAAGGCGAAACCGGTCGTGGTCGTCCAAGAGTTTTCAGCAACCTTGTGAGTAGTTTCCTTCATGGAACAAACTTATCTCTGTCCCAGATAGTTAAGTCTAACAGATGGTAAGCCATAAGGCCGATCCCACTAAAGTGTGTACCGCCGAGTGTTGCGCTGATCCATAGGGTCAGAACCGTACTAGAGAACCTGAATCCCTTCCGAACAACTCGCATTTTTTGAAATCCACTGAGACGCGTCGGGACTGAAAGCTCGGATAGTCGTTTTACAGGCCTTTGTCAGGAAGTATCAGGTCCTTCGATGATTTGAAGTGGAAATTTCAAATTTATCTGGAGGCCGTCCCGGTGATGTGAATTCGAGCGTGTCCAACTTCGAACTCCATGGTTCAAATGACCGTAGACAATTTGTTTCGGGATGCGAGTTTCAACCATTTGTTACAAGCGGTCTAATTGACGAGGCTCCCGAAGTCAGATACGCCGAGTTATTGATTATTTCGGATGGATTTCTCAAGCCGCCCGAATTCCTTGCTGTTGCCATTCGTGCGTTTATTTCATTGTCAAGTGTCAGAAGTGGGATGTTATACTATCATTGAAAGGAAGGAGACCATAGCTGCGGGGTTGTTAGAAAATGCCAACTGAACAGTTACAGACTATTGGATAGGAAAGCAAAACTTTCATATGCATCTTAATTACAAAAACTGAACATCCATCTTTTCTTGGACGCGTCTTCCTGAACTTTCCTGGGAATTCATAGAGTGTTGCTTAAGTCCAAGCAAATGCTCCAAAGCGAATTCACAAATCCGCAATAGGTCGCCCTTTTCAAGCGAATTTACAAGAAGAAAAAATACTACTCGCATGCCGCCCCATCAGTAGTATCATCGTTACGCCATAATAGTGGAAACGCGCCAAATTAGTTCACAAATGAATGTATTTAGCTAATTTAGTGCAATTTGGTTTCAAGTAGAACATAAGGTTGATGGAAACTCGGGGACTGCGCCTACCTGATGAGCCCCAAGAAGGGCGAAACCGGTCGTGGGCTGTCGATGGATTTTCAGCAACCTTATGAGTAGTACATTACAAATATACATGTATCGCGATATTTCAAATATCGTAGAGACTGAACCATGAGGCGGCCTGGTGCAGCACATTCAGTTGCCTGAGAACATCATAAACGAGAGGTGAACCATTTCGAAGACTCCGAGAAATGAACATAAATGGTGTGCTGCTCCAGGCCGCCTCATGTTTCAGTCGCTACGTTGTTCGAGATATCACGATACATGTATAGACGTTCTACACTACTCATAGGGCTGCTGAAAATTCTTCCACTGCTTTCGCCCTTCTTGGGGCTCATCATGTTATAACTTGCTGAACGGTAGTGCAACTCTGTGTCGGTCCCTCGGCTTCCTGCTCCGCCCACTATGGTATGTCAAAAGGCACGGTAGCTCTACACAGCCCTTTATGGAGACAAACGAAAATCATTACAACTGTATTTATAGGGTAATAACATAGTGTTCCACAAGCTCGTGCTAGAATCTCTGTGAGTGGACGAGGGGCGTCGAGTCAAAGATGGTCGATCCGGATTGGCTAACATTCTGACCAATCAGGGCATGCCTTCGTGTGGCCCGTGTCACGCACGCGACACATCTGTCCAAATGATGTGGTGTTCGGTTATTAGGGACGGCTGGCCCCCGAACACCTCCCCCTTGAGAAGGCTGTTCAACGGACTGCTGCTTTGAACTCCACTGTGACGAATCATGGAGGTTCTGTCGCATTTCGATTCGTCGCTGAGGCTGTGTGCATGCCGATCTGGGATCTGGTACCCTCCATTTGGGAGGTACATTATGGCTCTCCAGTGTCCCATGCCACGTGGTCCCCTCACTGAGCCGCAGTCTGTTGCCTGAAGTTGGTTCACATGACGCGGCTGTGCTGATGATCTTACGTGTGCCTCGTGTTTGACATCGTCGACCCTGCGTCCACCGTGGAGAACATTCCCCATATCTTCGAATCAGTGCCTGGTCTCTGCGTGACTGTTGTGGCGTCCCTTCTGCCGGCCCCACTTCCTTGACTTTCCGGATAGCAGTAGGACGATCCGCCTGAACTTGGGACTGTAAACTGAACGGTTCACACCGCGGGTGAAACGTTGCAGGCTGCTGACAGGGTTCGCCAAATTGGACTGAGGTGAGAGGTCTACTGGTGCCTGACACCAGGAGCTGAGTAGTCGCTGTGTCGCGTATGCTGGATCTGGTCTCCGGTTTGGCTGTAACTTGTCCATGTAAATTAGATGCCAAAACCTGGCTGTTTGTAGTCCTGCTGCCTACAAGCCATGCCATGAAATAATTCCGTAACAGACGGAATAAACTGGTCCCCGACCAATTCGGTCGTTACTTCCCCTGGATTCGTGGTCACCAGCAAGATCCAAATCAGAATTCAGAACTAATTCATTATCACAGTTTTTGGAGGCCAGCCGCCCCTAATAGACGAACAGCACGTCAGTCGGACGGATTTGTCACGTGCGGGCTACGGACCAAGCGAAGGTATGCCCTGATTGGTCAGAATGTCAGCCAATCCGGATCGACCATCTTTGACTCGACGCCTCTCGTCCACTCACAGGGATTCTAGCACGAGCTTGTGGAACACTATGTT